TATTCAAGAAACAGATGAGAAGATAAGTGCTGAAAGAAGTGATTTTTAATGGGAAGATAAAATCAATCGAAGGGGATGTTGGCACTTCTGGTACACTCAACGAAGGCAATCAAACCAGCCAAGGAAGCGGTATAGAGTCAAGAACACGAGTAAAACCACCAACGTTTGACGGAAGACGGAGGCGGCTGCTAAGGCGAATAACTGGGTGCCTGAAGAAAAAGTCACTGCGTTGACCGTTGCGCTTCGTGGAGATGCATGTGACATTTTGAACACCCTTTCCCCGGAAGAATTGGCGGATTATGAACAGTTGGTAAAACGGTTAGAGTTGCGCTACGGCGAGGCTCATTTAACAGCGGTGTATCACATTAATAAGTTCACCGTTGCAGAAGTGTATCCAGAAATAAATTGTCAGTGATAGCAGTGAAATAAATAGCGCAGTGAATTTCAACAGTAGTGTAGATAAATAGAATAATTCATAACCTAAGTTTAGTAATAATTTAATAGTGTTTTTAAGTTCTTTAATAATTAGTATAAATAAATAGTTTTTGTCGTTATCAGTCTTCGAAGTTAATTTTGTTAAACCCACGAACATTACAATATATTCCAATCCGACGGGACTTGAACCTTGTCGGAACTCTTCAAACTAGGGTGGTTAGATCGACTTGCGAGTTTCGATGATTTAGGGAACCGTACCATAGGTTCAACCATAATAGGGAGGGGTACTTAAGGAGAAACCAGACGAAGACAAGTCCCTGAAGGAGGGCAGCAGCTCTTTCAGTACTCAGGTTGGCAGAGATCACGAGGATCGGTATGGCACTTTGATGCACAATACTGCGATGTGGAAGGCAAGAGGAAACCACCACATTATGATGCCGAGCAAAAAGTACGTTTAAAATTAAATGATGGCTTCCTCTTCGGTAAAACACTCCAGACGTAAACTAGTCCTCCATTTGGATGTCCGGGCGGGGGATGTCATCAATAAGTGCAATAAGTCGGAGCGTGGAATGTTAGGATTATGAGGCAAGTAGGGAAATTGGAAAATTTTAAAGTTAAGATGAATAGATTAGAATTAGATGTAGTAGGCAATACTGAAGTCTTCTGGAATGGAGACTAGAATAATACATACAGGATTGGTGGAAGGTAATTCGGGGATAGGAATTGTAATGCATAGGAAAGCAGGGCAGAGTGTAGAAAGTTATTTACAAAAAACGATAGGATAGTTATGGTTAAATTAAACTCGAATCCAGTAAAAACGGTATTAGTACAGGTCTACATGCCTACATCATCTTACAATGATGAAGACGTAGAAACAGTTTATGCAGTCATAGAAGAGTGTAGAAGTTTAGCGAAAGGGCAGGAAAACCTAATATTTGTAGGAGAGTTCAACGTAAAAATAGGTGAAGGTAAATGTTTTGTGCAGTCGTGAGATAAAAAATTATCTGGAGACCACTCGGAAGTTGCGTTACTGAACTACCGTTCTACTAGAATGTTTTAAATAAAACTAGTAGCGAATTTGAGTTGATGTGTTTAATGAGAATGTTTCCTACATACTAACTAACAATATTAAATTTACTTAAAAACTAGAGAACAACTAAGAAAGTGGGTGGAGTCTAAATGAAAGATATTCTGGTGGTAGATAAATGTAGGAATTTCCTGAATGTTGTCATAGACGAGAGGGTGTTGACTTCAACTAGATGCAGAAAAGTTCTGAAAACAAGTATACAAGAGCTAACAATGGGCCAGGTATTAGTGACAGAAAACCTCATTTATGCTACCAGGAATTATTGAATTCATAACGTACATTTTGTATGTATGACAATGAAATTATTTACAAATATTATAAAACCAAATAATAAAGGAAAGGAATTTATAACTTAAAATGTTTGAAGTTGAACTGAACGAAGAAATTTGAAATGTAAATAAGTAAATAATAACCCTAGATCCAATTAAATGGAAAAGTTTTTGAATTAAAATAATTGTAAAAGATATAGATAATTATTAGCACTTAACATCCCGCCGCCCTTGAACCGATAGCGTTCAAAAGAACTCACACGCGCATATACACAACACACACGCAGTTCTTCACTTTGGTCACTAGAAAGAATAGTCAGTAAGTCGCCAATAGGGAAATGACTGGTGGGTTTATCTAAAAGGTCGTTTGGATCAGTGGAAAAGGGTGTAAGGGGGCGCGAGTTAAGTATTGCCTCTACTTCAGTGTTTGTAGCTTGCATTAAACTGTGTAGTTCAGGTGAAAAAGTTTCTTTTTGAATTAATTTGATTATAATAAGTTGTGCTAAAGTTAACGCTTCTGTTGATAATGGCCCAGCATTTTTCACGATCTTACTACTGTTTCGAATAAATTTTATACAGTATGATAGAACAGGGATTTCAGTAGGACAAATGCGGTGTTTTGTCCAATGACCTTTTTCTTTCAAAAGCCACGAGGGTCCATGATTCCATAGAGAACTTGAATCCAGTTGCAATATGTTTTCGTCGCAAGAAAGACTATCTGCGGGGTTGTCTGCAGATGGAACATGTCTCCACTGGCGAGAGCTTGTATTCGATTGAATATTCGATATTCTATTGGCCACAAACGTCTTAAGGGTATGTGGCGCTGAATTAATCCACCAAAGTACAATTTCTGAATCGGACCATAACACAGTGTTGTTAATATTTAAGTGTTCTAATGCCCTGATGCTTGCTTTAACTGATTTAACTAAAACAACAGTTGTGCATAGTTAAAGGCGCGGTAGCCAGATTGTCCTTATGAGTGTGAGGCGTGATTTAATTTCAATGTTTGACTGCAACCTTTTTTCTGGCGAATAGAGTCTATGTAACGTTGGTTTGTTTGATTTTCCAAGATCATTTACATCTTCTTTGAATGGAAGCTTGACAATGAATTTCCGAGCGTCGTCCCTTTGTACATGTTCATGAAAGCCATTCAAGTTGGGAATCGTCTGGCCGTTTAATTGTTGGTGCTGTAAAGATTTCATTTACGTGTTTTAAATTAATCACCCGTTCGTTATTGTAACGCTTTTTTAAAAGCGACCATGCCACTTGGTAATTATCTGCTGATAACTCCAATGAATGAATGAGATTCGCAGCCTCTGCCTTAACACATGAATGTAGATAATACAATTTCTGAATAACTGGAAGAGCTGGATTGCGCTGTCAATAATGGAAACAAACGAATCACGAAAATTAAGCCATTTGTTGTAAAATCCGTCGAATGTAGGAAGTTCAATCTTTGGTAACCTGCAGCTTACGTTAACATCTTGCACTGTAGATGGTGATAAGGAATTATCGGCTAACCGTCCTGTTGTGAAATTTGAGGATGAGTTCTGGTAACGCTCAATAAGTTCGTTTGCTGCCCCTACACATTGGTACCAATTGGTTTCGAAATCCGCCCGTTCTTCTTGTGTAAATAAGTAAATAATAACCCTAGATCCAATTAAATGGAAAAGTTTTTGAATTAAAATAATTGTAAAAGATATAGGTAATTATTAGCACTTAACAGTAAAGATGGTGCAAAAGCAGATTCTTTTGGATTAGGCAATAAAAATGATGGGGGAGATAGATTGATTGAGAAAATGAAAGTAGGAAACTTTGGGTAAAAAATGAGGGTGTAGGATTAAGAGAAGAAAGGCGGAAATACAAAAACAGGACAGACGAAGAAGGCAAAGAAGATATAAGGCTATAAGCTAAGGAACAGCGAATTGATATGAGGTGTAAAGAGGTAGGGGAAAAGTTTGAAGTAGGTAAGGGGATGAGGCTTGCAATATAACTAAAAGAAATTTTAGAGATGTAGGGTACAGTAGTAATTATATAAGAAATAAGGCAGGAGTCATTTTGATAGAAAATGAGGAAAAGGCTGATAGGTGGAAAGAATATTTAGAAAACCTATACGCAGGCCCTGAGTTAGGAGATATATTAGAGAAGAAGATAGTGTGGAGATAGGTGAGCTAGGTTATCCCATAATAAGAGAAGAGTTCGATGTGGCATTAAAAAACTTAAAGAATAATAAGGCGTCAGGTGTAGATGGGATACAGGGGGAAATTGTAAAAAATGCAGGACCAAAGGTTAGAAATCGTATGTTTATGCTAGTTAGTCACATTTACAAGACGGGAAATGCCCCAGAGGATTATAAACGGAACGTGGTAGTAACCATACTTTACAAAAGAGAGATAGGTGCCAGACATTTAGAACAATTAGCTTAACTTCCCGTGCTTCAAAAATCTTAACTAGAATTGTACAGAGGAGGATGGAAAAAAGGGCGAAAGAACTATTAGGGGATGATCAATTTGGGTTTAGAAGAAACAGAGGAACGCTGGAGGCCATTCTAGTTTTACGGGTAACAAAAGAGAAAACGATAGAAAAGGGAAAGAGTGCGTACATAGGATTTGTAGATTTAGAAAAAGCTTTTGACATTGTTAAATAGGACAAGATGTTAAATAAACTTAAAAATGTAGGGATGAGTTACATAGATAGAAGAGTGATACTTAGTTTGTATAAAGAGCAACAGGCAGTTATAGAAATGGGGCTGCAACGTAAAGAAGTAAATATTAGGAAGAGAGTCAGACAAGGATTCACACTGTCATCGCTACTTTTTAATCTAATACACTAAAGACAACGTCATTAATAACAGTACAACTGTAGGGATAGATGTGCAAGGGCTAAAAATTAATATGCTTAGATTTGCAGATGATATGGCAGTAAGGATGAGTTAGATACAGCTTTCATTAAAATGGAAGAGGTATTGACAAAACAGTACTGTATGAAAATAAATAAAAATAAAACAAAAATACTGGTATGCAAGGGAAGAANCCATTGGTGAGCTCCCTGTAGGTTTCCCGATGACTTCCTGCACGGAGGAATGCATTTCCGTGCCTTGTCTTGGAATCTGCTGTGGTAGAAGCAAAGGTCACTGCTCCTGTTGCTACTGTGGGATCGTCTTTGCGAAGAAGTGCCTCTGGATTGAGATCTAGATCTTGTCCTCGAACCTCTTGCCATATGTCGTCTTATTTGATGCAGATCCAACTGAAGTGCTTGCACCTTATTGGTCAGTAGTTGGATGGCATTGTGCTGTGGAGAAGGCGTGGCCGTGGTTGCTATCACGGACTGTGTTTGCGTTGCTTCCATGATATAGTCAGCTATTTCGGCAACTTCATCCAACTGCTTGTCCTTCATCGTTGCAGTGACCGTCTGTAGATTTTGCGGAAGGCGACCTGACCAGATTGTGCGTAATAGATTTTCTGGAGTAGAATTTCCAGCCAGGTTTTGAAGGTGACGCAGAAATTGGAATGGTTTCCTGTCACCGATTTCTTCCTGTCCCAGCAATTGTTTGGTCCTTAATTCTTGTGAAGGGCCCAACCGACGAATGAGTGCTGCTCTGATAGTAGCATATGGTTCAGTCGCCAGTGGGTTTATTATAATGTCCCGCACTTCGGCTGCGTACTGCGGATCCAAATTTCCCAGGACATACCCGAATCTTGTCGATTCAGATGTGATTCCTGAGGCTTCGAAACTTCGTTCCACCATGCAAAACCATAATTCAGGGTCGGATGGCACGAAAGGTGGCAGCCTGACAGCTAGACGGTCAATGGAGGAGGTAGGTTGGGCGTTTTGTGGGCGGGACATGGTTAAATGTCCACGTTGCGGCTGGCCTGGGCGACCCTTTTTGTTGATATGTTGATGAAGATGACGACGGTATTCACGGCCGTCCAAAGTAGACTGATTACCTCTAGCGTGATTAAAATGTAAAGGAGGCAATCGTTGCGCACAAGGGGCGAGGCGGTCGCATTTCCCGCGGCAGATTGAGCAATCACAATCTCTTCTTTGGATGGCGAGGAGCCCATGGGAGTTAGGCAGGAGATTTGTTATCGTTCAATTAGGCATGTTGATTCTCTTTAAAAAAAATCGATCTCCGATTCGATTCGAATCGAGCATGCTAGAATCGATTCTTGTTTAAATCGAGCATTAAAAGATCGATTTTCGATTAATCGCGCCAATTTCAAACACGCCATTGAATGGTTCAATGGGCTGGGGTAATACGCCCAGTAAGGGAGAGTATGTGTTCTCCAATAAATTGAACAACTCACGCAAAAAACGCTGATGCTGGAGGTCTTGGTCCTGGTCAGACAGTTCACCGGACGCAGGACTTGGGGTTACAAGTTGCAGTTGGGCGATCTGGCGCAAAAGGGCACGTTGACGACGCCGTTCCTTCCTTCGTTAGCGGGAATTGAAATAACTGTTTCGGCTGTCGCAGTTCATTACTGACCATGCGTTCGTAGTCGGGGTCACCACTGTAGTCACCCTGTGTGGTCGTAGTAAGGTGTGACTATCAAAAGTTGTGGTTCTGAGAAGAACCGATTANTCAATAGCTTTAGTTGATGCTATTACAGGTTGGCCTACTTCCATATCTTCAGCGTCAGTAGCGTCACTGTCGATTGCAGAAGGTGCAGGGGCAACAATTTGAGCATTGTCAGTAGCGTCGTGAGCAACTGCTACCGTAGGTTGATTTATTTCTAGATCTTCAGCTTCAGTCGTTTTCTCTTGCAAAATTAATAGCATCGATAGTGCAATGACTCTCATGATAGTCAAGAAGTATAAAAATTTTATTTTCTTTGGTGCATCTAGTGGTTTTTTTAATGTGTTGTAAAACTTTCAGAAACAAAGCTCCAGTCATCCAATCGCTGGTTTCGTGCTATCATTGACAACTCTTAATACAGCTCTCTTGGCGTCTTCTTCGTTAACATCATTTTCTTTTTTCTTTTTGTAATTTCTTACCATTGTGATTCGTAACTGTAAAAGAATATAAAATGAATTTATTTAACTATATTTATCAATGATTTTTAAAAATAAGTAAANAGGGTTATGCTTTTCAAGTCTGCAATATGGGGATGTGCAGGACAGTTGTCAACTAACAGCAGGATTTTCTTATTCTTTTTCGTAAGTTCACGATCCCATGCGCGTGCCCACTTGGTAAAAATGTCACCAGTCATCCAGGCTTTTCGATTGCTCTCATAATCCACTGGCAAATGCCGTACATTTTTAAAACATCTGGGACGTTGAGATTTCCCGATTACGAGAAGTTTTTTTTTAGCTGTGCCACTCATGTTGGCTGCCACCATCACTGTTATTCGCTCCTTTGATAATTTTCCTCCTGTACATTTTTCACCTTTAAATTTCAACGTCTTGTCTGGGGTTAATTTATAAAACAACCCGGTCTCATCTGCATTAAAAATTTCATCATCACTAAATTGAGCACGTAGAGTAGGCCAAACTTTTTCTAACCAATCGTGTACATCACTCTGTTGTACTGACAAAGACTCGCGAACAATCTTTCCACTGACGATGTTGTGTCTTACTTTAAAACGGTTTATCCAACTCATGGAACATATGAAATTTTGCATGTCTAACTGTCTAGCAAAAAAATTTGCTTTCTCTTGTAGCAGAGGTCCATTAAGAGGTATTCCCCGGTCGCGCTGAAGCTTAAACCACTGTAACAATGCCTTATCCAACTGCTCATGAATAGAAGTTCTTACACGTTTGCATTTCAAAACATTGGCATTAAATAGCGGCTCGATCTTGTATTTATTCTTCTTTATTGTTGATATTGTAGAATGAGATACGCCAAATTCCTTTGCGAGGGTCGCGTTTGATTCACCAGCTTCTAATCTGTGTAATATTGCACTCTTTTCTTCAATTGTAAAACACTTTATCTTCACAGAACTCATTTTATGGCGCTTTATGAACTTGTCATAACAGATGACAAACACTAACTGTGATTTATGCGCGCCAATAAGGAGAATTGAACGGTGAAGCGCGCGGGGAAAGTGAGGGGGCCGAGGTATTGGTCATTCGTTACCTAAATTGAAACAACACGGCGCGTCGTTTTAAACGGACGAATTATCGTAAAAAATGGTCGCTATAAACGGTTTGTCGCTCAAACCGGAGTCGCACTAAACGGTTACATTTTCTCAGTATCTAACTATTAAACCGAACTTGAGTAAATAATATCGACGCTAAAAACGGTTAGTCGTTATAAGCGACGTCGTTATAAATGAATTCTACCGTATATTGATATCATGATGTATCAGTTCAACGCTAGTCTCTTTGAAGTATTTTAAAATTGGTAACTACGTTTACTTATAAAGTAACAGAATTAAACACATCCAATTGCTGTTTACTGGTTGATGTTTTTGGAAACTGTACTTTTTCAAATTTTGTTGGTCTGTCAGTTGCATTCAAAATTCAAATTAATTTAACAGCTATAATGAATTTGTTTGAATTGAATTGTTAAATTTTAAGCATCTGTAGATAAAAGTTTTCAGTTACTTCTGAAATGAATAAATATATGCAATAGTTATTTGAAGAGTATACCCCTTTTCAAAACGTGATTCACTCGATGAAAACTTTTATATTTACAGATTATTGTTTTATGTTTACTTTCTGTAATATTGCTGCAGCCATTACCGTCACCAGAGAGAAGTGTTTTGCCAAGTAGGTATGCGAGTTTGATGTATTCCAAATATAATAAAATGCAGTTTACAAGTTTTTATTAGGTACAAAATGTATCTTACTGTACTAAAGTAACTTTAAACAAGGAACACTATTTGAATGTTTGAAATGCTTAATATTTTAAATGATAACAATATCTCTCTCAAGTAATGGGGATCAAATTTTTCTTAGAAAATTATTCTTTTGACTTAATTAGGTGTTGAATTTTGGCTTTTATTACTGGAACGTTTCGGTTTATCTTTGTTTCCGATATGAATTTCTTTATTTGACAGGATGCAGGATAAATTCCTCTGTCAATGTCCCGCTTGAAATATTTTCTTATTAATCCAAGTTCCTTTTCGGTCCAAGTTCTTTTTCTGATCTTATTTTTTTTACATTTGAAATTTCGCTAACAGCGTCTTCTATAAAATGTAATGTAAATGCAATATGCCACTTAAGATACGTAAAAGTTATCGTACCTTCATACTCTGTAACTTTCTCTGAACATATAGGAGTTTGTGCAAAAGTCTTTTGTTGGATATTGTCAGTAGTTAAATCTGAAATAAAAACGCAATTGAAGCATTGCACTGTAATTTTGATTTTTATTTTGAGTAATATTAAACTAAATTGATATATTGCCATATATATGTACAGGAGAGGGGGGCACCTTTGAACACTTTTTAAATAAAATATTATATTTGTCGTATTGTGCTACATATCAAGGTATATTACTTTTTTATGAATAGATATGCTATTTGNTAGAAACTCAAAAACACCATACAGGGGTGGTTTCCCCTCCCTATACATATATATATATATATTCTTCATCAGCGTGACGAACTCTATAACATACTGTATTTTCGGGAAAATCGATTAGGGGGCAACGGTCCATCAGAATTTGACTTACAATTTTAACGCGTACCCTTTGTTTTTTTTTTTCGTTATGCTCCCTTTTTCATTCTGTTTTTCATCTTTGAAACCAATTTATCTGTCCACTAATACCCTACTATTAATAATAATATAATCAACGGTCGTTTTAAAATCTTCCAGCCACCTTTCCGAAAGATGCTTACAGTTTCAGCCGAAGAGGAAGTATTAGCAATCAAAACAGTTTACAAACAAAACAATCAGACGCAAAAAACAGTTCACGAACCAAACAATCGGAAGCAAAACAGTTTTCAACGGTTACATCGATATTTCTTGCTTATCGTGACATTGAAGTAAACACATTTCTTTACATGCTATTGCCTAAAATATTATTAGCTTAGAATTATTCAAATTACGATTTAACGAATATTCACTCTTTCTGATTTAACCACAATAAAACCAAATGATACGTATTTTAAAATAAGTCATAGGAAAAACAACATATATCCATTACATTAGTGCTGTGGATACGTAGGGTAAGGTCGCCTTAGTCGTACCAGTTCAAGGAAAATAGCTATAATTTCTGTTGTAATATAAATAAAAGAAAAATATTTACAATCATAAAATCTTCTTTTATTAACGAATCAAAAAACATTGATAGACATTTAAAAATCTTAAAAAAAAATGTTTTTCAAAGGTTTTACAAAAACCTTCCTTCGGTGCGACTTAGGCAATTGGTTGCCTTAATCGTACCATCCATGGCTTAAGTCGTACTTAGACTAATCTTATATTTTTCCAACTAGAAGTGTTAGGACAATTAAAAAACTGCGTAGACTTATATGCTACGAGATCAATTTCAGTCTTCCTTCTTATTATAATAATAAAAACACGTTAATGTTATTCCGTAATAATAAGTAGGCTATTACGAAATAAACCTATCATTTTTTAAACACATATATCACAAATATAATTTTTTATGTTCATTTCGACATCTGCACATAAGTCATGTACCCATCCTTTGCATTTAATACATTCGGTCATGTTTTCTTTACGATCTTCGTTGCATAATTTGCACAACCAATTTTCTTTAGCGTTTACTTTTTTATCCTTGTTAGATTTCCTGTCTATCTTTCTTTTTTTATTAGTTCCTTGTGTTCCTTTTTCTTTTTTAATGTTTTTCAAATTTAATATAGGTCTCTTCAGTTTCTTTGTCTTTTCCTTGGTTTCAATTTCCGTTTTGTAGGGGGACGAAGTCAATTCCGTGGTCTTAC